TGACGTCACTGATTGCCAGCAGCTGGCCTGCCCAGAGTGTTCTAAACAGCTCCTGGGAATCAGTGACATCACTGGTTGCCAAGACCTGAGCAGGACACTGGCTAGAGCGCCCTGTTCAGCTCCTGGCAACCAGTGATGCCACTGGTTGCCCAGAGCTGGGTGGGACACCAGCCAGAGAGACCTAGCTTGCTAATAGATGGCAGGGGAGATGTGTATGGCCCTTACACATCTGCCTGCTGCCCCCCATATGACCCAAAGAGATGCCGCCTGAGGCAATTCGCTCAGGCTGCCTCATTATAGCGATGGCCCTGGGTCTGTTTTTAAACTATTTGCAGGGAGAACAACCTGTAGGTGTTTGTTTTGTGTGGATATATGCCAAAATGAAAGTGCTTCCATTGTTTCTTAAAAGGAAATGTATTTTCAAAAGTTGTTTTCATGTAATATTGCTTTATAACCACTAGATAGCACAGAGGAGCATAGAAAATAAATACTTTTTTTGTGTGCTCCTTTTGCTCCATCTAGTGGCCATAATGCAATATTACATGTAAACAATTCAAAATTCTTTCCACTTGCAAAGAAAAATACTAAAGAATGTTAGCTGTATATTCATAGTATATTGTTCTATTTATAGTATATTGTATAACATTATTTTTTTTATTTTTTTTAAGGATTGTGTCAGCCGCGGGTTCCAGGAACAGTTGGCGCTGAGCCTTTCTCTGCAAAAATCCGTTACACGGGTCCAGAGGATCCTGACTATCCCAATCTGATAAAGCTGACAGTGACAATGCCACATATGGATGGTAAGAATTCTCTGGCCTCTGATTATAATAAATCTTCCAATGTGGATGCAAAATCAGCATACATGTATGGGGATGGGTTAAATGCCTTATGCTGTAGTAAAGTGAATATTACTCACATAAACATGATTTTGTGTTCCAGGTATGCTTCCTGTCATATCAACCAGACATATGTCCAACTTTGAGCTTACACTTAGCCCAGATGGCACTCGAGTTGGTAACCACAAATGTTCCAATCTCCTGGACTACAATGAGATTCCAACCAAGCATGGTTTCATCACAGAGAACCCCAAGAATGATGACGTGATAGGTGAAACCTCCCCATACCAGTACAGTGCAGCTCTGAGGTCATCCAGAACATTGCGTTTTTACCGTAATCTCAACCTGGAGGCCTGTCTGTGGGAATTCAACAGCTACTACGATATGTCTGAGCTCCTGACTGATTGCAGTGGCTCCATAGGAACAGATGGGCAGGTAAGCATTGACATATATGCAAACACTCACTTCTTGAAGTGTGCATGCCCTTGTTTAATATAATGAAATAAAAACACTATCAAGCGTAAATAATAAGAAAGAGACTTATCCATCCATTGTAGCAGCCTTGCCTGGAATCAACAAGACGCTCTGTGTTGTCTGCACCAAATAAGAGTCCATTTCATACTCCACTTGTCCCAACGAAGTAGAACTCTCCATAGGATAAAAAATAATTGTTCTAGTCAATAAAGAGAATGTATAGGGAATAAAACGTTTTCTGGTTTACAAATATAATTAATATGTTGTTACCATAGAAAAGAAGCCTTTGATATTCTTATATTTCTCTGCAGGATGTTATTAAGGCTATAAGAGTATAACTGACTATAATTCTGTCTTTCCAGGTACTGAACTTGGTTCAGTCTTATGTCACTCTGCGGGTGCCTCTGTACGTCTCCTATGTGTTTCATTCACCAGCTGCGGTTGGTGGCTGGCAGCACTTTGATTTGCAGTCAGAGTTAAGACTGACCTTCGTGTATGACACAGCCATCCTATGGAATGAAGGCATAGGTAGCCCTCCAGAATCTGAACTTCAGGGTAAGACATTTATTTATCGTATAGAGTGGATTGTTATATACAGTATCTATGTACATATACGTCTATACTCTGTAAGGTGTTTTACAAAAACTGGAGAAGCAAAACCTGGAGCACTGAGCAGAGGTTGTACTATAGCAACCAGTCAGACTGCTACATTTGTAAGATGTAACCTGACTGGCTATCCAGCTGCTCCATTCTTCTACCTTCTTCTTTTCCTTGCTCCAGTTTTTAGAAAACACTCCCCAATATTTGTTTCTATTGCCAATCATTTTTGACAAAATGTCAGGAGACTATTATTAAACTCAGGAGTAAAATTTAAAAATGCATTCAAGTACTGTAACTATTACCAAAAATGTATCTTATTTGTGTATCACTCGGCTGTAGATCCTCAGATCATCTCTGAATTGGTGCCGACACTGTCCTTCCTTCTGGAGGGTGACTACTTTTGTTCCCCATGGTCCCTGTTAAACTTGTTAATAGTTAAGGCACATGAATGCAATTTTAAGATTTAACTCCTGAATTTAGTGTCACTTTAAATGTTTTGGTTTTTTTTTAAATCGAATTAATTTGGTTTTTAACATAGTACACAAAAAAGTGTATAGACAGGAGAGAGGTTCCCCATTCAAAGGTACACCAAAATATCTGGGGTAAAAGCCTTACAAATAACAAAATAAGGAAGTAACCAAAAGAGTGGTAAGGGGTTCAGATCAAGCCTCGGGGGAAGGCTCCCAGTGCCACACTTTGGGATTAAGAAGGTTCCAGATGAGTCCAACAACATCAAATAATCCAATAATGCTAGTCAAACAAGGTTGAAAGTTGGACAGAATTCTTATGCTCCATGTTTAAACAAATTGTTTATGATTTTTTATGATGATGTATTAAAATGCATGATATTACAGCCAACCCTGGGATACCGCAGTTGAGACTGCTGTCTTAACCCACCAGGTGCATATAGTCAGTTCTTTGCTGGGATATGGCCCTGCAATACATTATTCGACGTCTTCGTCAACATATTGTTGAGTCAGTCTTGACATGACTTTACTTTAATTTATAATTGAAATTAATAAATAAAATTTTGCAATAATAAGGTAGTAACCTAGGATTTGCTGCTTTTAAGGGAACAAAATTCCCTGCGCTGTTGTAACTATGTACTGAGATATTTAATATTCTACTATGCATTACAGGATCCCTTTATCCAACCAGCATGCGCATTAACGAAGAGGGGCGTCTAGTTGTGAACTTCAAAACTGAAATTCGCTTCCGTGGACAGTTTGTGCTGTCTCATCCAGGTAAGACCTAAATGTCAGCTAGGTGTATTTTTTTAGGGCAATGTTTGGGTATTTTTTGCATCCAGGTCCTAAACCTTTGAAGGAGTTGCCTACGACAACCAATCATATAATAACTGACATTGATGCAGGTTAGCTGACTGAAGAAACAACTAACTGGTTAGAATATGCAGCATATCCATTAGAGCCATTTTTAACAGAATAGGCAGCACATCCATTGGGGTCATTTTTATAAGAATAGGAATAGGCAGCACATCCATTGTGGCCATTTTTGTAAGAATAAGAATAGGCAGCACGTCCATTAGAGCCATTTTTATAGGAATAGGCAGCACATCCTTTAGGACCAATTATATAAGAATAGGAATAGGCAGCACATACTTTAGGGCCATTGTTATAAGAATAGGAATAGGCAGCACATCCATTAGGGCCATTTTTAAAAGAATAGGAATAGGCAGCACATACTTTAGGGCCATTTCTAAAAGAGTAGAGGTGCACCGAAACGGAAATTTCTAAACGGAAATAAAAAAAATTGTCAGGCCGAAACCAAAACCGAAAATGTTTTACGGACAGTGGCAGGTGGCTGAGCGGTGTGGGAGGAGAGACGCCGGCCGCTCACAGCGCTCTTTTCCCGCAGCGCTTGGCCGGCTGGGACACAGAGCAGCGCCCAGCGGGGAGGAAAGAAAGCAGGGATGGGCCGATGTATCGGCAGGAAAATGGCGCTTTCGGCATTTAGCCAAAAGTGCCATGTTCGGCCGATATGTTTCGGCGGCCGATATATCGGTGCATCCCTATAAAAGAGTAGGAATAGGCAGCACATCCATTAGGTCCATTTCTATAAGAGTAGGCATAGGCAGCACATCCATTAGGACCATTTCTGCAAGAGTCAGAATAGGCAGCACATCCATTAGGACTATTTTTATAAGACGTGTGCAAAATGTAGGCATGTTAACTGCTCTAGACTCACTGGTTGTGGCACAGTTAAATATTAAAATGCAGCAAACCTTCAGGTAGGAGAGTTGTCACATGATATGTTATTCTTCTTCTTGATTAATTTACATTACTATTAGTTACATACCTTGTCAGAAAAATGATGTAAAACAATTATAGCATATGCAGTATTATTTGTCGGCATTTGAACTGGCTGCAGATTTTAGCTAATTTAATAAGCAAATTATTAATCATTTTTGTTCTGTCTCAGGTACCTCGTTGTCCTCTATGGTCATGTCTGCTGACCACCCTGAGCTCACCTTCACACTGAGCCTTATCCGCAGTGAACCCAGCTTCAGACAGCCTGTGCAGCAGTGGAGTTTTGTCTCAGATTTTGCTGTAGGTGTTTATAGCATTGTGACCATTTCTCATTTCCACACATTCTTCAAGACAGCTAGGGGGTGTGTTTAGACAAAAATTGCTGAGCCATTCATCCCGTGAGTACGAGTACTCACCCAAATACTCTGTGTCAGCTCCAATACCGATACTAGTATCGGTATCGGTGCATCCCTACTTATTTCTGTATGATTGTTGGATCCAACTAATGGTCACAATGTGGTATTTTCCTGATTCACTCTAATCTTATGAATGAATTACATTCAACCTGGAAAAAATATTCTAATGACATTAATTTTTATTCCATTCACACAGAATGTACATTTTTGAAGGACGAATGGTTCTAAAAAATGTTTTTATTAATGCACCCCTTAAAGAGTGATTCCACTTTTGTTGAGAAAAAAAACAATCCTCTTTGGTGATCTATGTACATTGCAAGGATTTTGACACTTTGTTGCAGGTTCCTACCTGTTTCTCTTGTGAAGAAAAAGCTGTTTGTTGACGCTTACCCTTTCCAAACTGATCCCTGAATGGGAGGGTCTGGCTTATAACCAGCTGGTGGGCTTCCTGTGTTGTAATAGGGAAAGGTGCAGTGTCTGCATCTCTTTAGGCTAATTTAGGCTATTTCAAGGGATGCCAAAAAATATACTTGTATCTTAGTGCAGGCTTCTGAGAAAATGACTCAGCCAATCACAGAATCAGTGAGTGATATTTCTGACTTTTATATTTTTAAAGTGGAGTTACCCTTTATTGTTCATAATTTTACAAGCAACTTACTTGCAGAAAGTATGGCAATTTGTGAAGACGCATGCTAGTTTGTGTAAGATCATTATACCTAGGGCAGTAATCCTAGCAACCAGTTGGTTATCATCTTTCAGTTGTCCATCCTCCTGACTGTTCTTTGGTTGCAGCAATAATAAAACATATTAATAGAAATAATCATGATTACTGCTTTTATAGCTTTTGGCATTCTAAATAAAACCATTATGTTCTATTTCACATTATTACAAAACAGTAACAATATTATTGTGTTTCTTATATAAAGGTCATTTTTTTCTTAGTTTTGATCAGATGATTGTTATGTATACATGAGTTTACAATATTTCTAATATCGTCACAATTTTTGCAGGTACGTGACTACTCTGGCACTTACACAATAAAGCTTATTCCATGTAGTGCATCACCTAACCAAGAATACACTGTCCCTGCTATCTGCAACCCACGTGAGCCAATCACATTTGACATCGATATTAGGTTTCAACAGGTAAGAAGAAGACTGTAAGCTAATGTTATGGACAATTTCATACGCAGTTGTATATCTACAAACCAGTCATGCTTAAATTGTAGGTTAGTGATCCAGTATCAACGGAGTTCAGTTTAAACACTCAGATGTACCTACTATCCAAGAAGGAACTATGGCTATCCGATGGTTCAATGGGATTTGGTGAAGGAACGGATGTTGCCTTTTCTGAAGGTAAGAAAACATGGCATTATGGAGTAAAGTGAGTGTGCACGTGGGAGAGGTGAAGGGGATATATAGACTAGGATTATGGGCAAAATAACAAATTACACATAGGATGCAGCGTGTCACTAGCATTACCATAGCGCAGTTTTATTACATGTTGATCCTGCCAGTATATCAGTTAATGTTCCACTTCTTTTAACAGTGTGACAATGGTGTTCATTCTGCAGTGATTGTCACTCTGTAAACTGGATACCTTAAGTTACCAATGATAAACATATTAAATACTAATTCCAGCTAATACACTTTATGCAGGTAATGCAAATATTAAATAACAAATGTTTAAACCATGTGAATAAAAGCTGACTGTTATAAGCACCCTGTCAGTGTTATGTGGTTTGCCCGAACCTCTCTAACTGGTACTTTTGCTGGGCAGCTTAGTCTGCACGTAAATGTGGAGAAAAGTATAAACAAAGGTCTCCGAAATGAAAAAGGAACTGCTGAGTACTTTCATTACAGACCTTAGTCTCACACAGTCCCTAAAATACAACAATTTTCACTATAATGGGGCTTTTAGTCTTGACTCAGGTTACAGCTCCTCTGTGAAAAAAAAATAGTGTACGTTGCTATTCCTTTGTCAGAAATAACAATTTTAAATATATATTGTTTGGTTAATTCTTTTTAAAATGAAAGGGTTGACAATGGAAGAATTTTGTACTATAGATATTGTGGAATAACATGAGTTTAAAAAGCTGAACCTGTAGACACAACGGGCCTAATGTATAAGAAGTATATTTGGTATTTGTATGTAACATAGATCTATCTTTATTTTGTTTGAAGGGTCTGAAATTTATGGACGTGTAATGGTGGATCCTGTTCAGAACCTTGGAGAATCTTTCATCTGTAACATTGAGAAAGTATTTTTATGTACTGGTGGAGATGGCTATGTCCCCAAGTACAACCCAGACAACAGAGAATATGGATGCCTCGCAGATTCATCTACTTTACTCTATAGATTTAAAATATTGGTACGTAGTTTACGATGTATTGAAGTGTATATCCATTTAAGTAAGTGTTCCATGACATACAAACACAACAAATGTACATTTCCCGAATGGTTGTGCACATCCTCTGACAGTCCTCTGCCAGTTTGGTGTAAAAGAAAGCTCAGCATTTGTGGGTAGGGCCACCTTCTGGGGGAATATGTTCAACCTAGTGACAAGTGGCACACGTAGGTCAGCATCTATGAGTGCTATTGACCATTGTGGAAAGAAAAACTAGCTAAGGGCCCATTCACACCACACAGTACATGCTACTGTGTGCATAGCGTGTGCATAGCCTGTGCACATGCACTGGTGTGAGTTGTTCAAATGCATTGCAGTGCTTACTTTTTCTTTTTGTTTCAACTTGTATGTGATTCTCATGTGCTGCAGTGCATTTCAATATGTTACAGTGCGTTGGAATGAGCTGCACTGAGCAATGAAAAGATGCAGCACGTCCTACTTTTTTCCCAGCATGTTGGTGTGAACTAATGCCTTAGGACTTAAGGTGTATGAACCTATTCTTTCATTGGGACTGTGTTGGATAATGCTAGCCAACTCCGCTGGCCCTAAATGTTTACTGAAGGGGGCAATATTAAATCAGACTATCAAATAGACAGGATGGAGTATAAGCCTTTCATACATGCCCTGGACATAACAGGGCTGCCACCTAATGGCTGCAAAAGGGTACAAAAATATTATGTAATATTTTATATGTACTTCACAAAAAGAAATATAACAACATTTTCCAAAAATGTGAACATAATTCATGAAAAAAAGAAAACATGAAAAAAATATTCATTCATTTAAAAAAAAAAAAAAAAAAAAAATGAATGGCCTATCTCAAATCAAATACTTGCATTTATGTACAATATCAGTTTAGAAAATGTAGAATGTAGAGTAGAATCAGAGTGCTGTGAGCAGCAGCTCTGTTTTCCTTTTGTACTAGTTTATGGAATTTGTACTAGTTTATGGAATTTGTCTTGACGTAATCACTTACTGCTCTGTGTAACAAGCTAAACATGATTGTGTCTATAATTTTGTACCTGGCATTATATAGTTACAACTGTTTATGTAAACCTAACTGTTTTATAATTCTCTTTCCATTACAAAGGACAAAGCGCAGCCAGAAACTCAAGCTAGACTGTTTGGGAATGTTCAGTTTGAAGCTAAATTAGCAGCTGACAGCCCAGAGGCTCTGCCATTAGTAAAGCAGCCAGGATCTGATGGCTTCAGTCTGTCATCAAATGCCCTATTCCAGGTATGTCTCACCTAAAACACAAACATTTGCAATAAATTATATGGTTTGATATGTCACCCCAATTAAAGTCACATGAATAGATATACAACCTGATAGACATTGCACTGACAACCCCCACTATGCAGTTGTGTGTATTTCAGGGCAAAATATAAAAAATCATATGCAATGCATGCACATATGAAATACACATAAAAAAAAAGTGTGAGACCTAATTTAGGCTTTAGTAGTATTCTTTCTTGTAATATTTCTGACAAGTTTAAAAAAAAACAACAGTTTAGGACAATGGTCATGCTACTAGTCCAAAATACCTCTAAATACTTTGGGCGTGAGTAGTGTGCCCAGCACTTCTTCTTTCCACACAGCTCTCCAGGCATATTTAACAGCAATTGGGACTTGTTGTCGCAAAAACAAATGCCGCACAAACGACAGGTATCACAAGCTGGATACTGTTTATTCCCAAAGTCAAAACATGCAATTCGCGGTAAACAAATTGCGCGACAAACGCGCGTTTCCGAGGGCTACTTGGCTGTATCCCAATGGAAACGCGCAACAAAAACGGCCCAAAGTAGTACCTGTAGCTTTTCAGGCGTGGGCCGTTTTGTAGCGCGTTAGGGACGGGCGGAAATACGCCAAGGTGGGAACCAGATCATTGAATACAATGGGATTTATATTTTTGAGCGTTCGTCGAGCGTAGAACGCGCTACAAAACGTTCAGGTGTGAACGAGGGCTAAGTCATATTCGGCTCTCAAACTTTTTTTCAATAATGAATTCAGTTCAAACAAATATACTGTACATTGCCCAAAAAAGTATTTTAAGTTTTTTTCCCAAACACTTCCAGTCATCATGTTTCCAAACAGCTCCAATTCTCTCTGCTCAGCTTCTCTGATCATCCTGTCCAGTACCACATCACAAGGGAGAGAGCAGTCTCCAGCAGCCTTCCATCTATTACGCTGGAGAAGAGAGGAACAGGAGGGAGGGGGTGGATTGTCTTGCTGTGTCTGTGTATTTGTGGACACACAGCTTACTAGCACACACAGGGGTGGCTCCATACAACTCTGCAAGGGGAAGGAGCCAACAGCATATGCGGTAGACATGTAAAATGGCAAAAAATTTGTTTCGTTTTGTTGCGTATGTTTCATTATTTCGTTTGTCGGGATGCGGGTCTGAAAGGCATTTTGTTTCGGCATTCGGATTCGGAGTAATTCAAATTTTCGTTAATTTCGAGTTGAGTTGAATTATAATTACGAACCAAAATTTGTTGCAGAAAAGTAACATTACATGTTTACGTTGTTTGTTTTTTACTTTTGACACTCCACAGAAACATGAAAAAAAATCAGCATGGGGTTCCCCCTGACAATTCATACCAGACCCTTTAGGTCTAGTAGGAATTGGCCAATAGCAGGCTTTGTTTATTTCTTCCCACTGCCCGATGTAAGCATTGCATCAGGGAGGTTTTTTTCTTTCATTTGTTGTCCGACGCTGGAATGACATTTTGTAAAATATTTTTCTAAATGAAATGAATCAATGAAAGGAATTTTTTATAAGGTGTCGTGTGTTTATTTACATTTTGTTTAACTCTTTAGTGAAGGAGTAGGGGTACAAGTATCCCTTACTCATTCACAAGGGGGTGGGGGGGGGGGGAGGCCAGGGTTGTGGGGGAGAAGCCTTTCTCCTCATTGGGAACAAGGTGCTTTTCCAGCTGACAGATTCCTTGTCAGCAAAGAAGCAGTGGCAGTTAGAGAATAACACATAGCTAGCTATCCCTCCCTTCCTGCCTATTTCATTCAGGATACAAGTCCAGAGTGCCAACAAAGTGCAGAGAAGCCAGAGATCGGGAAATGACAGCTCTCCCGCTTGTTGCATTTCATTCTGAATGACATTTGTGTGTATCCGAATTCCGTAATCAAACATTCAGATACGTTCAGATTCGTTATGTCAGAAATTCGGATGCATCTGTCTGAATTTACAGAAATCCGTACACATTTCAATTCGAACTAAACAAATCGCACACGTCTAATATTAGGGCCACTGCTCAGGGGACCAGCTGATTCTGCAGGAAGGTAAAACTTTTTAACCTCAAGGAGCAGCATCCATTGTAAGTGATTTCATCAGCATTTAAAAAAGCTTAAAAACCTTTTGACTTTAATATCACTGTAACCAAGAACACCACTACTGCCAATTCTAATAAAATATTCTTCCCACTTCTAGGTGGCTGCTGGACGTGAATGGTTCATTCATACCATCTATACAGTCCGCTCAAGAGAAAATGCGAACAGAGGTATCGGAAAACGAAGCATTGAATACCACCACGCCATAAGCAAAGGTGTAGCTCAAAGTGAGCAACTGCTTTTGAAGAGGAGCCGGAGAGCTTATCAAGACAATGCAGCCTTGCCAGACATTGGAGCTGATAAGAACAGAGGGACAAACATTCAGCACATTACTCTTAGACATCCCCGCAGGGCCTCTGGCCAGGACGCCTTACCTGGATATGGACAGTACGACAAGCCCGTCCTGGGAATCACTGGCCAGGATTCTCAGGGTTCCTTGTTCCCAGTCATTGGTGGGGTAGTTGCCTTGCTGCTCCTGATTTGCACTACTGTCATTATTGTGTTTCTGAGACGCAGAGGACAGTCGCATACAGATAAAAAGTCTGCCTCTAACAGTCACTACAATAGCCGTGAAACTGTGACCACTCGAAATAGTAGCAGTGACAACTCTGAGGTATAGAACAATGAAAAGTAACTTCATGTGTCATGGTGCTTATACATGTTGCTGACGTTCAGTCCTTCCATCCATGAGCCGTACCCAATGTGTACTAACTTATTTGAAAGCATTAACAATTATTCACTATTAAGAAACAAAATGTATTGATGGAATGTATATATTTTTTTGTTTAGATCTTCCAGAGCATTACAGTATTTTGTAAATCCCAGCATTTATTTTTATATCATGGATAACAGCCTAGCAACACTGCAGAAATCAAACCTGTGAACAAGACGAACGCTCTACAAAACGCTCAAACATCTAAATCCCATTGTATTCAATGCGTCTGGTTCACACCTTGGCGTATTTCAGCCCGTTCCCTAATGCGCTACAAAACGGCCCACGCCTGAAAAGGTACATGTACTACTTTGGCCGTTTTTGTTGCGCGTTTCCATTGGGATACAGCCAAGTAGCCCTAGGAAACGCGCGACAGACGCGCACATGCAATACACCTAGGTGTGAACCAGGGCTAAGGCCTGGTTCACACCTGTACTCTATGAACGCTCTACAAAACGCTCAAACATGAAAATACCATTGTTTTCTATGGGTATGGTTCACACCTGGGCGTATTTCAGCCCGTCTGAACGCGCTACAAGACGGCCTACGCCTGAAAAGGTACATGAGCTTCTTTGCAGCGTTTTTGTCGTGCGTTTCCATTGGGATACAGCCAAGAAGCCCTCGGAATCGCGAGTTTGCCGCGCTGTTTTTTTAACCGTGAATCGCGGTAAAAACGGGCGTCACAAAACCTTAGGGGTTCATTTATAAAAGTGATACACTATATGCCAGATGGATGCCTAGAGCACCCCTAAAAGGCGCTAACGAGTATAGGAAATTTCTGTACTCACAGCGCCATCTAGGGGTGCTAGGGCTGGGTATAACTTTTATAAATGAACCCTTAATGCCATCCTGCACATAGAGTTAATAGCTATTCTATATTATCAGTGCAGTAGCATTCTAACGCGGTAAACAGTGGAAGTCATTCTATTTAGCTTTGTTTGGAAGTAAGATATACAGTAGATTCTGCAGAAAAGAAGATGCGTGCACTACAGTGGGAATCAAATATTTATTGAATATAGACATGTGCCAGATTAGAATGTTGGTCAGGCATCAGATATGAAGCGTTGAGTTCTGTCTGGAATCAATGCACTGGCTGACAATATTTCTGAATGCCGCCTTTCCACGTTTCAGTATACTGTACAATGTGCCTTATGGCAAGCCTTATCTTGTGTTTGCTACTATTTGTCATGTGATTTCTCTTTAGGATTTTACTGTCTGGTTTTTACATATTGTCTAAACTTAATCCTATTATTATTTTGTCATATGGTAGGTATTCATTTAGAAATACCAGTGGATCATTTGCAGGGAAACTGTAATGTTTTTTATATTTATATTGCTTCGTAAATATTTCAAGTCAATGTTTGAACAAATAAAAGACATTTTTTTTAAAAGAGTTGTTTTTAGGTGTGAAAATTTACCCAAATGAAAGGCCTACTCTAGTCGATTTTTTTAATAGGTAAGGGATAGAACTTATTTTTTCCCTTTCTGTGTCCGCTTCTGTGGAAGGAAGAATCAAAAGGAATTTTTCTGTGACACCAGAGCAAGGCATAAGTGGGGGTGGAGGGCAAGTGGTCTCAACTAGCCAAAAAAAAAGGTTTGGGCTGGAGTTAGGCTTTAATATCTTTTGATTATGAGAGATTTAGTGAGGAACGGGCATTTTTGTATGAATCTGCCTCCATCGTAGTAATTTGTTAGTGCAGTTTTCCCGCTCATGGATAGATGTGTGTGCTATTCATTTGTGAAAACATATAGCTTATTCGCTCACTTCTCGATTCTCCCCTCCCCCCCTCCCCGCTCAGATCCTCCAGTGCTGACTGGAGGGCCAGATGGGGGAGGGGGAGGGGGACGGGCCAAGCCCACTATCAATCAGCCGACTGGGTGGATCTCGCCAGTATTGTCGGGATCTGTCCCGGCTGCAGCACTCTCCGCATATAGCGGGCAATAGCTCGCTATATTCTGATCCGCAAATCATCTCTGAATTGGTGCCGACACTGTCCTTCCTTCTGGAGGGTGGCTACTTTTGTTCCCCATGGTTGTAGCCACCGCTCCAAGCTCACTGCCCTGATGGACTACAATCTCGTTTATTTACTAATTTCTTTCAAGATTGTAGTCCTTCACGGGAGCGAGCTTGGAGCGGTGTCTCTCAGTATCAGTTTCCTTTAAATTATAATAAATTCCCTCTAGCTGAACTATACTGTATATTGATTGCAAGGGTTTTAGCAAACTCTGCCAATGTATACAATTCTCTGTTCTGAAGAAATCGTTCGAGGTTGCAGTGTCATTTCTTATATTAAAGGAGAACTATGGGGGTGAGCGAATTACACCCCCATAGTTAGAGCCGACGTGTGTCATTGAAACATCGAAGCTCTATTGATAGGGAAGGGAGCGAAAACATACCGTCAATCTGCTCACTTCCCAATCATCTTCCTGCAGAGGGGTGACCTCAGTCACTTCTCCCCGCAGAGATTCCCCCCTCCCCGTTCTCCAGCACTGACTGGATGGATGGACAGACGGGGTAGAGGGCTGGCAATCAGCCAGCTGGGTGGATCCTGACAGTATTATGCAGAGTTTTGGGGACGGGAGGCCACAGTATATGTCCTCCCGTGATCCTGAGGAAAACTAAGGGCACAAAAGGTTGCCCCATAGTTCTCCTTTGATTTCTGAATGGGGGAATCTGACTTCATTACAACCACCTGGTTCAGTCTCAGATGTATAATAAAAGCTACAATGTTTGGATCGTTAAACAGTATTTTACCAAAAATTACACGGAGTGCAAGGAATCCCTGAAATCCCGGATTGAAAGAAGAAACAGTGAACAATTCCCAATGGTGTAGAGCAGTAGCTCTTAACCTGTGTAACCTCAGGACCCACATTAGTCTTTCATCATTAGGTCACGACCCAAGTCTAACTGCAATGGAACGCACAGCATTAGGGTACCCTGCGTTCCAGTGCGGGTGTACAAGCTGGGTGGGAGGTGTGTTTGAGGTACCATTCAAATAAATGGCAACACACCTGAATGCACGGTAGGTTCGTTTGGGTGGTACAGTGCATTAATTGCACGGCACTATGCAATTAACGCACTGTACTAATGTGAACGGATCCTCAAAAACACTGACAGACATACACAACCAGAGACACAATCTCTCACACACATTCCCAACATTTAAAAAAAAATTTTTTTAAGGTCCACCCAGTCTCCCTACCTTACAAGAACTAAAGTGGTTCCTCAGTCTGGGGTCCAGTGTGGGCTGCTGTGCTGTGATGGAGCTCCATCCATATGCGCATTGCTTATACATCTCTCTTGCATGCCCTGCACAGGTGCCGGGAGTCAGAATGTGATGTCACTCCCGTCCAGGCACCTCTACAGGGCACACGAAGGAGCTCTAAGCAATGCACATATGGATGGCGCTCTCTCGCGACCATAGCCCCCAGCCCACCCTACCTCAAGATGACACTGGGCAGCATATTTTGAATGTCTGCTTGGCGCGAGAACTGACAGTGCTGCACTAGGGGAAGGCAGAGGAGCCTCTCAAGAAGGAAAGTGGAAGGCATGCTGCGACCCTCAGAACATGAGGTCACGACCCACCAGTTGAGAACCAAGGGTGTAGAGAATACCTAACCATAGCGCAAGGAAGCAACATTTACACTGAGTTTCAGAACATTGCAGGAGCGGTTGCAGACTGAAAGAAATGTTTCCATAATATTCCAGTATAAAATTGCTTATATAGATTATATACAATATTTTCTAGTGAAAAGTGTCACTAGATTATTTCCCCCCCCCCCATGTAGTGCAAATCACTGAAGTACTAGTACAGCTGGCTAAAACAGCATCTTACAGTGTCCCTGCTGCCTCTAGCAACTAGGCTGCAGGTCAATTTTTCAATTGGCATGAAGAAGTTGATCATGCAGCGCACACCAACTGACTTCCAAGGCTTTATTATCAATACAACTACAAAATAGCACATACAGTGTAACTGAGTAGCTGAAATGCCTCATCATTTACACAATGTGGGGGATGTGTGATTCTATTGCTCAAGTGTGCGTGGCTGGAGGCTAACTAGAGCCTTGCTGATCACCAGTAATCCCTGAACAGTCTATTATGGGTGGAGGTTGAACAGGTACTGTTTGTTTTTTTTACTTCACTCTCAAGCTGCTCAGAGTAGCCTGGAAACTGCACAAATGGCTTTACCAAAGAGATAAATGGTAAGAAATATATATATTTAGATATGCTGTGTGAATAGAAATGCATAACAAACAGAAATATTTTGAGTGCAAAAGTGAAACTACACTTTAACCCCTTCATGACTGAGCTTGTTTTTAGTTGCTGTTCGTAAATGACTGACACACTTTTGACATTTTTGCTGTGTGATTCTTCCACGTCAGTAATATACTTTCTTACAAAGTGCACCCACACATATTATATATTGTTTTTTAGAGGACAGATAGGGCTACATATTTATATCACATATGTGTGTCTAACGCCTCACTTAGGACAAATAAAATATAAAAAAAGAGAAAAAAAACGTTAAAAAAAAACACTTTTTTTCCCAGTTTTGATTTGTAGTATTTTTTTTTACAACACCAGCACAGCTAAAAAAAAATGCAATAAATACATTCATTTATTTGTCCCTTATTTTATTTTTACACATTTTTTTTTTTTACACTTTTCACAATTATTATTTTTTTTACACTTTTCACTTTTTTTTAAACTTAAAAATTGTATTTTATTTATTTAATTATATCAAGCAGTCATTGTGAATTAATCTCACTGTTACTGCTTGATAAATTAATAAAGTTTGGTTATTATCAGGCTGCTTCAAACTTCAGAACAGCCGATAATAAGTTAGTGACACTGATCCTGCAGCAGTTCAGGATTCAGCTGTTACTAAAGGTTTTCTGATTGTTGCAACAACGATCAGCAAACTGAAACATTCTTCTTCCAGGAATAGATACATTATAGGAA